GGCACACGGTAGGACGGCACTTTGTGGTTCTTTATGGCTGGTTGGGGTTATGTGTCTAGTTTTGGTCAATGAGTTATTTCTGTGACAAGTGGGAAACTCTGAAGAATTTTCTTTCAGTCAATGTTTAAAGTGGTGGTTGCTCCAGCAGCCTGGGTCCCTAAATGATTCCAGTGAACAGAGTCCTCCAACTGTCCTCAATGGGCATGTAGCAAGAAATACACCAAAAATCTACCTTTTTTTAATCAAGATAGAATCCCAAAGATTATTTTTAAGTAAAAATAGATGCAAATGATATACATAATACTATACAATCTGTGTAAAAACTTTAAATGACAAAGTACTACTATATATGTTCAATAGCTAGTAGTACTTTGTGGTTTAAAATTTTTGTGATATGCATATTTATATCACAAAATATAGTAATTACTTTGAGGGGATGATATTAAATAAGAGACAAGATTTGGAATAATGTAAAACAGAATTTAGCCTACTCTAATTTTTTTTTCATTTTTAAAGGGAGAATATGTTAATTTAAAATAAAATTAATTTAAAATATCAAAAATGATATAAAGTAGGGAAGAACTCTACTGTCCATAAAGAAAGAACTTTTTGCTGTTAAGAGTTTTAAAATGTCAATGGAATGCAAACTCAGTGGAGGAAAAATTGGCCTTATACACCATGTAAAAATACACATAACCTGTGATTTAGTATTCTAGTGGCCCATACATAAGTAATGTGTGTACTAGGATGTTTATTGCAGCACCATTTTAGTAGAAGAAGATTTTTAAAAAACTTATAATCTTCATTTGAAAATTCATTAAATTAATTGTTGTATATTCATACAATGGGATATTTGGTGCTAGTTCAAAACAAAGAGGCAGCTCTATATTACTGATAGGGAAAGGTGTCCAAGACAAATTATTAAGTGAGACAAGCAATGTAGACAACTTTGTATATGGTATGTTACCATTTATACAAGGAAAAGTTTAAAAAGAATATATCTGTAATTCTCTTCCTCAAACCAAGGAACACAAGAGCAGAATGGCAGTCTCAGTCGACATATTGTTAATTTTGTACAAGATAAGGAGGTGACAAAGGGTCTCAGGATGCCTATTAATTGGGAAACACAGCCTATCCCAACCAAGAAAGAGCAATATAATTTTTATTTCACCCTGGAACATTTGTAAGTACAATAATAGTAAAGGATTACTTTTGAAACGATGTCTCTACAGGACTACACACACCTTTTCTGAGTAAGCAATAATTACAGGGGCATCAGGGTGAAATGTAAGCAATGGAGACAAACGGGCAGTGGTATGGAGGGAGATTAGGAACCATTGAGGCTGGGAAGGAAAGGAATTTTAAGAGTATAGGTCCTATACTAGAGGAGACGACACAGGAGAACCTTAACCAGAATTTCTAAAAACATGGTCTTGTGAATGTGTAACTGGCGTTTAGACAGTGTATCCTCCTTAGGCAGAACATTTGATTCTTCATATTCCCCCTAGAACTGATGCTCACAAGCATCCAGTCCTACTCTGTTATTAGATCCAATTCTCCTCTGGCCTGGGATGCTCCCGTATCATTTATCAGAAAGTGAACATGAAGTTAAGCTAGGTGCAATGTAAAGTGAAATTATAACCTCTTTGTAAGTTTACATACTAAGATGGACACTCACATGTACTCAAAGCTACTAATAGTTGAATATAAGCAGTTTATTAATAATATAAAAAAAGATTTCAAATAAGACTGAAATAAAAATGAAAAGAAGCTGCGATGAGCTTCCATCTGGTCACCTTGTAGGTTTTGTTTGTGTCATTACCATTATTATGCTATGAGTCTCAATATGCATATTCAGCCTTCAAGGCATTGTTTTTTTCCTCCTCCAGTACTTTGTGCCACAGTAAGAATACAGTGCTATCAGAATGAGGCCAGTAGGTGTTTTGTTTCATTCAGTATCATGATTCAATCTACAAGGCACATGTTTTAACTTCAATTTGGATCACAGACATTAGTTTTTCCTCAATATCTTTTTATGACCTCAAGTAGAAGCCTTTGATAAAACAATTCAATTTAATCATTAAATACCAAAGTAGACAATTCACACAGAAAAGCTTTACACAAAGTGTGATACTGTACCTGGATCATCTGCATCAGAAACAACTGGAAGCTTATTAAAGCTACAAATTTCTGGGCCCTAAAGCAGCTCTATTAAATCAATCCCCATAGAGGTTGGGCTCAGGAATCTGTATTTGAATAAGCTTCACCAGTTGTTTCTGGCACACACATAGATTGATGAATCATCAGCCTTATATTTAACAACTATGGCAGCAGAGTTAGGCAGAATAAAGCAGTGAAAAACATTTTTTTCCTAAAAGAAGTGATAATTTAAAAACTGATTGATGTGCGGAGCAAGGGGTTAGATAAGTTGAACATTACCCTAAGTTACCTCACCAAGGATGTAAAAAAAGATCAAATTTCCTATTTATGCTAGGAAAATTTAGCCTGGAGGAAGCTGCAGAGGATAAATGTATGCTCATGCTGATGGTAACAACGATAGACATCTGCTAGATATCTTTCAGTAAAGTAAATTCATTGAAAGTACAACTAAATGTGATTGAATTTTTCTATATTTGCAAGTCTTCATATGAATAATTCACAGATCAGAAAAAAAACAATCCTTTGTCAGGCCATGCATGTGTCTCCTGATTTTTGTTGCAGAAAATATGGTTGCCTTAGTTATACAGGACTGAACCCAGGGATTAAGTGCAGCACAGACAAGGAGATTTGTGTGTCATCCACAGAGACGATAATTGAATCCAGGAGACAGATGGTATTGACGCTGGTACAGTAAACCTACCATGTCAAGAATTGTGCAACTTGGTGGTTTTAGAACATCAGCGGAAGCCAATACTATGGACAATCAGCACGTAACTGCTAATCTCTCTTGATAGCACTTTTAGCTTGGTTGATTTATTAATTCAGTCGAGGAAGAGGTACCTCCATATCTCTTGCTGACAGCTTTTAGAAAAACTAACTTTTCTCTTTTACTCTTACTGAAAAGGTCTATAAGTCCCATTGATTTGGGGATCCCTAATAGTTCCTCCAAGAACAGACAGGGCTTCTTTGTATAGTAATATAAAACCCCAAGTGGGAGTTATAAGGCCAGTGGAAAATGATTTGGAAGCATGGAATCAGATACTATAGAAGAAGCCAAAGATATGAGATGCAAACCCAATGAAGACTGATATTCCTGAGCCCCAGATTGGGGAGTATGTTTAGGATTACATAGTGATTCATGCTATCACCAGCAGCAGAGAAGTATATGTAATAAATAAAAATTGTCCTTTGATGTGGCACTGAGTTTTTCAGTGATCTTAACAAGCCAAGTTGAGGGTGGGACAATCCAAAGACTTTCGATAGTACAGTATGAACAACATACTCCCGAAATTTGGTGATGGAAAATAGAGAGTAAAAGTTTGTTTATACTTACCATGTACCTGCCACTTCACATTCATCTCATTTCTACCCTAAAAAAAGGTGAGGAAATGGGGGCCCAGAGAAGTTCTGTAACTTATACAGGGTTAAAATGGCTTATAAGTGATGTAATTGGGATTTGAACCTAGTTCTGTCTTATTCTAAAACCTGTGTGCTTTCCACTGCAAGAGTCTGGCCACATGACATTTAACAGTATTTTGTGACCCACCAGCCTTTTACCCTTTATGTTCCTACTTTGAGCACAGGAGTAACATCAGGGTTGAGGTAGTAATTGTTGAGGTTGGCCATATGTTGAAGGAGAAGACAGAAGACCTTTATTTGAATTAATTCATTTAACCCTCACAGTAATAGTATGATGTAGGTACTATTGTCACCCATTTTATAGCTGGAGAAAAACAAGGTACAGACATTAAAATAACTTATTCAATGTCATCCAGATAGTGCGTAGCTGGAGTCAAACCACATTTGTTTGGCTCTAAAGCTCCTGTGTTTGCATTATGTCATATTGCCTCAGAGAATTAAAAAATAGAAATCAGGTGCTTATCTATCTATGCTTACAGGTTGAAGAACCAGAAGAGAAGATGAGAATGAAAGGCCAGTTGTTTCATTTCAAATTAACATCCTCCTTGTGGCCCTGAATTCACTCTTTCTCTCTGCCTGCCTAACTCTTGAGCTTTACTGTATTATTCAATAAAATGTCTCCCTCATCCCTCTTCTCTATGTTATTGGTCCTATTTCAAACCTCTCATTACTGTGGTCCTGTCTTTAAACATAACAATCCCACAGCATATTCTTACTACATCTCTAAAAACATCTCTGGGTCTGTATCATCTCTCTCTATCCCAGTTTGTCATGTAGAATAACCTTAACTCCCTACCAAATCTTGGAACACAATTTATCTTACCTCTCCATTTTATCTTACTAGAGTGGAATTCTGGCTGTTTCCTACAAACACAGACTTCTCTACTGCTTCACCAAGGAGGCCTTTTCAAATCTTTGGAGGTCCTTTCACATCAGTGGAAGTGAAGAGGAGGTGTGTCAGTGGCACACCCAGAACTTCACCACAGAATGTGAACCATGAAGTATCAGAGCTAAATGAAAACCCTACTAATCACTAGTACAACACCCTCCTCATCATGTTCTACAGACAACGAATGTGACACTCAGAGGTTCTTCCTTAAACTTCATATATTTCAAGATTTATTTATATGCTAATTATAGCATATAGACAGCATATAGCTAATTATAGCATATAGCTCAGACCCACTTCTCTCCTTTTATCACCTTCTTTGTGGATAACTAGCATCTAAATGACTTTTTCCTCTTTACTTTCTTCCCTAGCCATTTTCTCAGCATCATCTATGTTAAGCCACCTATTAGTAAATGTTTATTGTTGGTGACCTGTCAGATGCCAGAGACGGAGGACTCATTGCTCCTCTAAATAATTGCCTTTGTGTTACATTTACAACTTGTCAACAATGATAGACCTTCATTCTACCCAGCTCTCTTTTAAACCACAATCTTCTTACAAGCTCTCTGATCTCACTGTGGCACTCAGTTGTTCTGCTATTATTCACTTCACTCAGATAATTGATGAACTTCATAGCTTGCTGGACTCATCCCCAGCCTCACCATCATTACTCACTCCTATACTCGTTATAGTTCTTGAGTTCTTGTAACTTTCACTTCTTGTCTAATGCACTAACTCCTGTCTCAAGGGTCTTCCGTAACTACCTCTACTTAAGTACTAATCCCTTACCTGCTCAATTCTCCTTCTTATCCATGACCTCTCTCCACCTCTCCTACATAGTAATATGTCTCTGCTATGTGTCTGCTTTTGCCTGCTGACCACACCTTGACTTAGGCCTTTATTCTTGTATTGTGTGTTTGGAAGTTGCCTGCCCACCATTAGCCCATTGGCTCCCAATTTGGTGGTATGCCAACTATGTTCCCAGAGTCTCCCTCATAATGAGTCTTGATAACCATCTAGATCACACTCTATGCCAACTCTGCTAACTTCTCAAGTGTTTTTCGATGTTCTCTCCCACTACCATCTGCTCCTTTTGTGAGAAGAAAAAAAAAATGAGGTGAATAGCGTAGTTTGTTATAATATTGGCATTTTAATAAAAGAAACTGATATTTGATAACAAAGATCCTAATTGCCATTTTTACTATTATTACTTAGGCTTATCATTTTGTTTATGTTCTGTATAATGTATAGAGAAGTGAGGAAAATGCCGCTTGTTACAAAATTTGTATTTATTCTGAGTTTGGTGGATCAACCCAGGTGAATCTGTATTTGGTTTGGAGAAAGTGGGGTGATAGGCGTGAATATCAGTTAGTATACTCTATAGGGAGGAACAACTAGTAAATTTATGATTTGGGGTTGAGGTTATACTTGTAGTATGAAAAATAAACACTTGTTAACTAAAATTAATTGTTATGCACGGATTGCAATTGTCAATATATAAAATTATTCATGGAACTTCTACCCATACCATGAAACACAAGACACATTTACTTCAACTACTGATGTAAATTTGAAAGATGATAGTGTTGAATCATAGAAAATAATGACTTTAATGAAGGCAAATTATCTTGCTAAAATGAATCAAATGAATAGCCTTGGTTGTAAAAATGGAAGCGAATCCTTATTTTTGAATTATGAATTGTTCTTCAACGAAAGTTAGGATATGATTTGCTATGGTGAAAGCTTCATTTGTTGTCATTTTCACTAGAAAAGGGAGGGCTATCTTTCCTACCTCACATCCACCTGAATGCTTCTGCCAGACAGAGCCAATTCTTTGCCATTTCCTGAACATACTCATTCATGTAGGTAGAGCTTGGGAAGGCTTTAGCACTCCCATGACCTCCATCAGCCCTCCAAGGCAATCACAAATAACTACCCAAGCTATTGAGCAGTGATGTGTCTTCTATGAAAAGCTATTCTGTTTTTAGTTTTTTTGTGTGTTCTTTTTCACTTTAAGAAAAGTCTTCTAAGTATTCCTGCCATTCAGATTACCATCTCAAGTTACTCCTATATAAACTATTTGGAACTGCCATTGTTTTTAATAATGCTGGTCTCTGTACTTGCAATGAATCCCCACTCCCATTACAGACTAAGTGAATTCCGCTCTTCCTTCGAGAACCATCACAAATGCCATTTTCTCTGAAAAGTCCTCTCTGATGCTGTATCCCAAATAGTGATTTTTTTCTTTTGTGATGTTATAATATTTTGCTAAAACAATGACATTTATAGATTTACATTCCAACAATATTTTACATGAGTGTTTCTCATGGTAGACAGTCAGCTTCCATGTTCAAGATTATTCATTTGATATCCTGATCTTCCAGTATAGTGCCTGACATAGGTAATTAATTAGCTAACAGATGAATACATTATGTTGGAAAGTTTGAAATCAGTAAGTGCAAAGTTCTGATTATACTAATTCAAAAATTGGGACAACCTAGATTGACCAGACTCAAGATTACCCTAGAAATTTCTTTCTTCATATTTGCAAAATAATACTGACTTTATTCAAGGACCCTAGAACAATTTTAACTTATTTTATATAAAAGAATTGATATAAAGAAAGGAGGCAAAGCAAGATGGCTTAACAGAATCCTCTGCCAATCATCCTCCTCACAGGAACACCAAATTTAACAACTATGTATGCAAACACACACACACACACACACACACACACACACACACACACACATATTCCTAAGACCTAAAAATGAGGTGTGTAATCACAGTTCTTGGTTTTAACTTCATATCGCTGAAAGGGGCACAGAAGAGAATAGGTAAGACAGTCTTGAATGGCTGGCACCACTCCTCCCTCATCCCCTGGCAGTGGCTATATGACACAGAGAATCTGTGCACTTGAGTAGAAGAAAGTGCAGCAATTGTGGGACTTTGCATTGGAACTCAGTTCTGCCAACACTGAGGAGAACTCAGCCAATGTCCATGGAGGGAGCGTTTAGACCTAGTCAGAGAGGAATCACCCCGTCCAGCAGTGAGAACTTGAGTTTTGGCAAGCCCCACCAAACTGGAATAAAGTGTTTCAGGGTGCTAAATGAACTTAAAAGGCAATCTAGGTCACAAGGACTGCAACTCCTAAGCAAGTCCTAGTGCTGTACTGGATTTGGAGCTAATGGACTTAGGGGACGCATGACCTAGTAGACACCAGCAGGGGTAGCTAAAGGAGTGCTTGCTTCACCTTTCCCACAAACCCAAGCAGCACAGCCCACAGCTCCAAAAGAGACCCCTACCTTCTGTTTGAGGAGAAGAGAGGGAAGAGTAAAGAGGATTTGTCTTGCAACTTGGATATTAGTTCAGCAACAGTAGAATAGGGCATTGGGAAGAGTTGTGAGGCCCTTATTCCAGGCCACAGCTCCCAGATGACATTTTACACCCTGGGCCAGAAGAGAACCACTGCCTTGAAGGAAAGGACCCAGTCCTAGCAGGATTCATCACCTGCTTACTAAAGAGCCCTTGGGCCCTGAATAGTCAGCAATGGTAACTAGGTAGTACACACTGTGGGCCTTGGGTAAAACGCTGAGACATGCTGGCTTCAGGTGTGACCCAACATATTCACAGCTCTTGTGGCTACAAGGAGAGACATAAAAGGAATTTTGTCTTGCAGCTTAAGTTCTAGCTCAGCCACAGTGGGGTAGAGCATCAAGCGGGCTCTTGGGGTTTCCAATTCCAGGCCATGGCTCTTGGACACCATTTAGAGACCTACCATGAGCCAGAGGGAGCTCACTTCCTTGAAGGGTAAATAAAAATCCTGATAGCATTCATCACAAGATGACCGAAGAGCCTCTGGGCCTTAAGTGAACTTGGGTGTTATCCTGGCAGTACTCTCCATAGACCAGTGGTGGTGGTGGACATAGGGAGAGACTCCTCTGCATGAGGAAAGGGGAGGGAAGGATGGAAAAAAAACTTTGCCTTGTATTTCTGGTGCCAGCTTAGCTGCAGTAGAATAGA